ATTTGGATTTAAATTCTCCCCACTATTTTATCCCACATCATTATGTAATTAAACCAGATAGCACAACTACTAAATTACGTGTAGTTTTTGATGCTTCAGCTCGTACATCATCACAAGTATCATTAAATGAGTTATTAATAGTGGGCCCTACAATCCAAAATGAACTTGTAATAACATTATTAAGATTTCGATCGTATCAATATGGAATAACGGCTGACATAACAAAAATGTATAAACAATTTTGGCTACATCCAAGTGATCGCAATTTTCAACTAATTTTGTGGCGTGAGCATAAATAGCAAAATATTTCAGTTTATCAACTGAATACTGTTACATATGGTACGAGTTCTGCGCCATTTCTTGCAACTCGGTGCTTACACTACATTGCAGATAACTATCCTTACCGTAAAGAAACAGGTAAAATGATATTAAAAAGGGATTTTTATGTCGATGACATGATCTCAGGAGCAGATGACTTGGAGACATTGCAAGCCATCAAAAATGAAACTACTGAAATATTGGATTTTTATAACTTATCGTTAACAAAGTGGAATAGCAACAATGTTAACATCACTGCACCAAATGTTAAACTTACAGATATTGAGACTGCAAGAGATATGGCATGCCCACTTGGAATGTTATGGAATACGAAAGAAGACTATTTTTGCTTCACTTTTCAATCAACCAATGTACCAGCAAGTCATACTAAACGAAACATTTTGTCATTAGCATCATCTTTATATGATCCTTTGGGTCTAATTAGTCCACTTATCATTAAAGCTAAGATTTTGTTACAGCAACTATGGATAATTGGATGTGATTGGGATGAATCCGTACCTCAAGAAATTTACACAACATGGAACAAAATTCTTGCTGATTTGCATCAAGTGGTAGTTCTTAAAATTCCTAGGTTCACTCGAATCAATAACTCAATTAACATGCAAGTACATGGCTTCAGCGACGCATCAATTAGAGCATACGGATGTTGTATCTATTTACGTTGTCAAGATGATTTTGGCAATGTTAGTGTTCATTTATTAACTTCCAAATCCCGAGTTGCTCCTGTGAAAGCAAGATCATTACCACGTCTTGAATTGTGTGCCGCCCATCTTCTTGCTGGATGCTGGAGCAAGATTAAAGATAATTTATTATATTATATTAATAACATATACTTTTGGTCTGATTCACAGATTACTTTACATTGGATTAGTTCTCATTCTTCAACACTAGCGACCTTTGTTGGTAATCGAGTTGCTGACGTTCAAGAATGGTCGGTAAATGCATTTTGGCGCCATGTACCAACCGATCAGAATCCAGCTGATCTCGTGTCTAGAGGGTGTACCGTCCCAGAATTACTGTCATCAAATTGGTTCAAAGGACCTTCATTTTTAATGTTGCTGTGGCCAAACTGGCCAGAACATTCAATAAATCAACTAACAGTTGACGAACGCAAGTTAGAAACTCGCAAACTAGTGTGCATTTTGGAAGATGTCAAGCCTCCGTATTTGCTACAGAGACTTCATCAGATAAGCAATTATAACAAATGTCTACGTATGGTTGCGCTGATGCTAAGAGGGCACCACAAGCACGATGCACAAATTCAATCATTATTCGTGGTAGATGAAATACAACGCGCTCTGTTGCATATTGTATATCTTATTCAACAACGCTATTTTCACAAGGATATAGTACTTACACAACTCAAACCAATTACGAAGCTAGCTGTATTACCTATTAATTGAACCTGACGGTCTCAATGGGGGCCGGTATGTTAAGTCAATTGGGTTCTCTTGTACTTATTTTAATTTCAATTATTTAACATTTATTTACAACTAAAAAAAGCTTTTAATAGCCGCAGCTTTCCTTTTGTTTTGTTTGTTGCTATTGTTAATAATATGTTTTAAGAATAAAAGTCAGTGGTTTGTGAACCGCTCAACAAAAAAGGTGCGTTTGGATTTTACTATCTTTATATAAAATCAAAAACAACAAAAAGACTATTAAATTAAATAGTTTTCGATCAACCGCAACGAATGGAAAGAATATAAATCATTGTTTCAATAAGGATTCTGTTTCTAAGTTTAGCTTATACTAAATTCATTGCGTCTACCAGGAGACGCCACTCAGGTACCATCTGCAGAGGTCGATAAACTGGTGAACTACTGCGAGAGAATGAAATTGCCTCTTATACTCGGTTGCGACTCCAACGCACACAACGAAGTTTGGGGAAGCACTAACACCAATATAAGAGGTGAGTACCTTTTAGAATTTATACTAGTAAAAAATTAGAAATATGTAATGTAGGTAATACACCAACATTTGTAACTATCTCACGCAAAGAGGTCCTAGATATTACTATAGGAAATACTCGAGGTTGTGAGCTTGTGAGAACTGGAGAGTATCCAGTGAACCATCTATGTCTGATCATAGAATTCTAAGGTTCGACATTGAAGGTTCACCAATTAACAAAAAAATTTTAAGGAACCCAAGAAAAACAAATTGGGAGAACTACACGGAAAATCTGAAAGACAATCTTGTCCAATTAGGGCTAGATGAAATCATTCAGAATGAAATTCAATTAGAAAATTACCTAGAAAACCTTAATGGGGCCATACTAAATGCATATGAGGATAGCTGTCCATTAAGCCTGATTAACTCCACCAAGGATGTGCTTTGGTGGAACAATGACCTTAAAAACCTAAGAAACACTGTTAGAGGAGTTTTTAACTACTCAAAGCGAACAGGAGACTGGTCAGAATATAGGAAAAAACTTACTTTGTACAATAGAGAAATTAGGGCCTCTAAACGCAGAAGCTTTCAAAAATTCTGCGAAAACATAGAAAGCACTACGGAGGTATCAAGACTCTACAAGGTACTTGCAAAAAGCAGCAGCCTCACCTCCACAAATCTCAAGCGAGAAGATGGAAGTTTCACCGAAGGTGAAGAAGAGAAGATACAACTACTTCTGGACGTACACTTCCCAGGATCCTCTCCAACTCTAGGGACGGAATCAGAACACACTGAACCCCCTAAAACAGTAAAGAAGGATGATTGGAAATTCGCCAAAAATATAATCACAATGCCTAAAATCAGGTGGGCGGTAAATTCGCTCAAGCCACTGAAATCTCCAGGTATTGATGGTGTCTTTTCGGCATTACTTCAAAAAGGAATTGAACAGCTACTAGGTCCAATAACTAGAATAGCCAGAGTCAGTATTGCATTGGGATATATACCAAACATGTGGAAAAGGGCAAAAGTGGTCTTTATTCCGAAGGCGGGCAAGAGAGATCCTACTCACCCGAAATCCTTCAGACCAATCTGCCTCACATCCTTCCTACTTAAAGTAGTAGAAAAAGTTGTGGATAACTATATCAGGAATACTACACTGAAAGTAACTCCACTATACAGTCGCCAAGATGCCTATAGGGCAGGGCAGTCGACAGAAACGGCCCTGCATCAACTAAGTAACACGATTCAGGACAGCATAGATAAGAAAGAGATAGCAATTTGCGCTTTCTTAGACATTGAAGGAGCCTTTGATAACACTTCACATGAGGTTATAACTCAACTATTTCTAAAAGAGGAATCAATGGCACACTCTCACGCTGGATGAGCAATATGCTTCGCACCAGGAGAGTAGAAATTCCGACCAGCAATGGTAATATTTTTGCAAATACTTCGCGAGGGTGCCCACAAGGTGGAGTATTATCACCCCTTATGTGGAGTATGGTAGTGGATGAACTATTGGTAAAACTGGACAGGAATGGCTTCCAAATCCAGGGGTACGCCGATGATGTGGTAATTATCTGCAGAGGAAAATTTGAGAGTACTCTGTGCGAAAGAATCCAGTTAGGCTTAAAACTAACTAAAGAATGGTGCAATTCGGTTGGGCTGAAAAT